TAATAGTTAAGTATAATAAGTTTGTTATCGTTGGTTGTCTTTAGATAAGTATTCTTTTTTTTTATTTCTTGGTACTCATGTCACGTTGCTTGGTGTTAATCTTTAATGATTTTTGTTTGTTTCATGCTTGGCGATCTATTTGTTTTATTTCGGATTCTTTTTTTTTTTTTTTTTTGGTATTAAGGTAACCTCCTTGGCCTGGGGACTTTTTATTAGTAATCATTAGTTATTACAGTTACAATGAAGATACAACTAGCCACATGTGTACCTTTTGGATACCTATTTAAGTAGTCCGCCCACAGGTTCTACACTAGATGTTATACCTATAACTCAACTAGGGAGTTACCCTTTTAAACCTTCTGATTCTAACTATATTTATAACCTATCATACTAACCCAGGAACTACTATCTGGCCCATTTCTCTAGATTTTGCACCCTGCCTTAGGACTTTTGTGACTTATTCTGAGTTTGCACTGACTAATTACTGGCTTGCATTCCTCTGTTGAGTGGATACACAACTATCTATGAGGTAAACCTACTAGAGCTTTTCCTATCCTATTTTGAGCCAACCTGGTTTTGTACAGTTGCCGAGGCTCCCACTTGCAGTTGGGCTATTACCCATTTAACCGCTTTTGCTCTTATAAGGTTTGCTTTCCAATCCCAATACCCACATTCGAACCTTTCCTTTTTCTATTATTTTCTTATTAGTCTATCCCTTACTTCCAACTGATAACAAGACCTCTGAATATACTGATTAGAACCTCATTGTTCAGAAGTATAAATTTTATAGAAAACCTCAATGGCTATTAGTGTAAGTTGTATATCAGAATCCTGACACACAAAATCCTGATACACAAAATCCCGGCAACAAAATCCCAATACACAAAATCCCGACAAATTAAATTCCTAATTTTAATATTTTTAGGATTTTAATTTGTCGGGATTTTGTGTATCAGGATTTTGTTGCCGGGTTTTTGTGTGTCGGGATTTTGTGTGTCAGGATTCTGATATACAACCAGCAGTGTATAGATATAGAAATTTAACTAAAGCTCAAAGTACAGATTTTGGTAAACTAGTCTTTAAAGTATTTTTACCTTTGCATACAGAATTATAATAAATTTTACTATAATGTATGGATTTGCAATAAATATTTACCTCTACATACAGAATTGTTTAAGAAGTTTGGTATACAAAAATAAAATATATTAATCAATATATAATGATAAATTTTTTTTGAAGCGATAGCACTAATGAATTCTAATGAACAAGATAAAAATAAAAGTACTTTATAACAAAAACAGCTTGACTATTTTGAAATAAAAAGTAATATTATTCGAGAAAAAAATATTACTTACTATTCAACAAGTCAAAATAAAAATTCATTAGCTAAAAGAATTCAAAATGAAAGCACAGAACCAAAAATAGCAGAAATTCTTTAGCAACTTGATGGTTTATCAGGTCAATCTTTATTAAAAAAGATTTTAGAAGATAGATTATATATTTTATATAATGATAATAAACATGTTTATTGTCATAGTTGTCAAAAATCAACAACTTTACACTGCTTTAATGATGGAACTAGATTAAAAGAACATATTATTATTTCAATGCATCTTGAAAATTCTCAAAAAACTGAGTCAAAAAAAATGCGTACTACTTTTTTAACAACATTTTTTAGTAATAACGATAATAATACACCAACTATTATTGATTTAACTAAACCAAATAAAGAGCTCAATAATTTAGTCACAGTTACAGTTAATGATAGTCAACTAATATTGTCTACAAATCAAGTGTCTAAAATTAAATAGCATAGTTCGATCTTTTTTTTTATTTTAATATTATATTAATTTACTTATAAGCTTATTTTATATTTTATATTATATTATTATAGTTTGTAATGGATTCTTCAAAGCAAATTATACAACTTTTGCAAAGTATAGTACTTCAATTTTTGATAAAAAAAGCAAAGTTCAATACACTATTTTTTGAAATGATGACTTGTATGATAGATTAGAACATGCTGAGGGCTATTTTAAAAGTGCAAAATGTCTTGGATATTGTTCAAATAAATGGTGTTACGAATGTGGTCTTTTATCAAAAAATGAAGCATTCAACAAAAGAAATCATGAATATTAGGAATTACTTGCTTAAATTGATTGTGCTATGATCTTAAATATAAAGGGAGAATTAACTGATTCAATTTATTGTAAATATAGTCAAGTACTTTATTTTAATAAATGGTCTAATCATTCTTTTAAAGAACTGGATACACTTATAAAAAATCAAGAAAAACATCCCAAAAAATATTGTTCTGATAATCTTGACAATTTATTTAATTGATAATCTGCCAGTCAACAGAAGAATAAACATAGTGTAACATGACACAAATCACTATGTAAATCCAATATAGTGTGAATCTAAAAAATTTCT